GGTGGGAGGGGGACATCGAGGGTGTGGATGAAGAAGCAGGTGAGGGGGAGGGGCCTGAGGGGGCGGGGCCAGGCCTGAGGGGAGGGGCTTTGCCACCAGGGGTGTGGCTCAAAGGGGAGTGGCTTAGAGGGGGTGTGTCTTGGTGAGGGGGGTGTGGCTTGGCTTTTGAGGGTGTGGCTTAAAGGGGTGTGTCTCACCAGTAGGGCGTGGCTTAATGATGGGGGTGTGGCTTAATGCTAGGGGCGTGGCTTGGGCTCATGGCCTAGTAATGGGGATGTGGCTCAAGGGGGCGTGGCTTAGTGATGGGGTGTGGCTTTCACATAAGGGCGTGGCTTAGTTTTGGGGGTGGGGCTTATGAGGGTGGGGCTTATGGGGACATCATGGGTGTGGCTTTACATGGGGGTGTGGCTTAGCATTGGGGGTGTGGCTTAACATTGGGGTGTGGCCCAGCAATAGCGGGTGTGTCCAGCCCTGTGGGCGTGTCCTCGGGCTGACCACACCCAGGTGGAGCATGATTGGCAGGTGGCCACCAGGAGGGCGTGGCTTTGGAGAGGGGGCGTGTCTCAGCTATGGGAGGGGGTGTGTCTGACCCTGTGGGCGTGTCCCGTGTGTGACCACGCCCCCTGCCCTGCCCAGCTGGAGTACGAGTGGCAGGTGGTGGGGGGTGTGGCTTGGAGGAGGCGTGTCTGACCCTGTGGGCGTGTCCCCTGTGTGACCACGCCCCCCACCCCGCCGAGCTGGCATATGAGAGGCCTGTGGCAAGGGGGTGTGGCTTGGAGGGGGCGTGGCTCAGCTATGGGAGGGGGGCGTGTCCCACCCTGTGGGTGTGTCTGACCCTGTGGGCGTGTCCCCTGTGTGACCACGCCCCCGCCCCGCCCAGCTGGAGTACGAGCGGCAGGTGGCCACCATTCGAGCGGCCGCGGTTGCCGCCGACGGCGACTTCTCGGTGTCCCAGGCCGAGCTCTCGTCCCGCCAGGCCATGCTGGAGAACGCCTCCGACATCAAGGTGGGACCCCCAAAAACGGCTTCAGGGGGCCCCAAAACCCCCCTAGGAGCCCCAAAAATGGCCTCAGGAGACCCAAAAACCCCCCTGGGACCCCCAAAATCGGCGTCAGGAGACCCAAAAACCCCCAAAATTGGCTTCAGGAGGCCCAAAAACCCCCTGGGACCCATAAAATCAGCTTCAGGGGCCCCACCTCTGATCCCTGTGGGATTTGGGGGATCCCTGTAGGATTTGAGAGGTCCTTGGGTGATTTTTGGGATGTCCCTGATCCCCTTTTTCCCCTCCTTTCCCAGCTGGAGAAGTTCACGGGGTCCCCAGAGGAGTTGGATGCCCCTGGGTGGGTTTGGGGGGTCCCTGGTTGAGTTCAGGGGGTCCCTGTAGGATTTGGGGTATCCCTGTGGGGTCGTGGCTCCTTGTGGGATCCGAGGGGGTCCCTGGGTGATTTTTGGGGTGTCCCTGATCCCCTTTTCCCCCTTTTTTCCCAGCTGGAGAAGTTCAGGGGCTCCGTGGAGGAGTTGGATGCCCCTGGGTGGGTTTGGGGGGTTCCTGGTTGAGTTCAGGCGTTCCCTGTAGGGTCGTGGCTCCCTGTGGGATCCGGGGGTGTCCCTGGGTGATTTTTGGGGGTCCCTGATCCCCTTTTCCCCCCCTTTTTTCCCAGCTGGAGAAGTTTAGGGGCTCCATGGAGGAGTTGGATGCCCATGGTTGAGTTTAGGGGGTCCCTGTAGGATTTGGGGGATCCCTGGGGTGTCATGGCTCCCTGTGGGATCCAAGGGGATCCCTGGGTGATTTTTGGGGTGTCCCTGATCCCCTTTTCCCCCCCTTTTCCCAGCTGGAGAAGTTCAGGGGGACCTCAGAGAAGCTTGGGTTAGTTTGACACCCCTGGGTGGGTTTGGGGTATCCCTGTGGGGTCGTGCTTCCCTGTGGGATCCGAGGGGGTCCCAGGGTGATTTTTGGGGTGTCCCTGATCCCCTTTTCCCCCCCCCTTTTT